TAATAATATTCAGTGGTGGAAGAGGAAAAAGACTGAAGTGGGGAGTTTCTATTCTGTGTCCTGCCTGTAATAAAACAAAAATAATCTTTAGTTTTAACTTCTGCAAAGAGAGAAATGTTTGTATCTCAGAAAGCACAAAGGCTTGAAAGAATAAGAAGCTAAACTTTTCAACAAAACAGAAAGTCTAAAACCCTGAGTTGTGTCTGAAATAAAAGTAAAAAAAAAACTGAASCATGTTTATGTTTCTTTACCTCATAAACTTCATTCCATTTTGGGTGCAGGTTTTCCTTGATGGTCTTGGTTTTGAAATTGCGGTTGCCCACTCGGAGTTTCACGTACGGGTCCGACTTGCCTTTCACCAAACCCATCATGTAGGTATCTTTGGCCACCAGGTCTCTGGCCTCCAACACGTGGACCCTCACCACCCCCTGAGGAGCACGGGTAGTCATGCAGCTTCACATCAGAATGTTTCAGCTCTTTTTTTTTAGGTTCAGCAGAAGCTAAACTCAGATCGGGACCGTTCGATACGTACGCGAGGAAGCGGAAACCTCATCTGGTCCACTTTGAGCTGGTCTATGAGGGGGATGCACAAGCGGTTCGGCAACACCATCAAAGAGGCTATGATGTCAATGACCGTGTCCCCAGAGAGAGAACTGAAAYGGTATGGTGATCCATTAGTGTCAAAAATAAGTATTTCTGTCTAAGTAATATGTATATATATTGGGATATGTAAGGTGATATGCTAAGTGATATGTTATGCCATATGTTATGTGTATATGTTAGGTGATATGTGACATGTTATGTGTATATGTTAGGTGATATATGACATGTTATGTGTATATGTTAGGTGATATATGACATGTTATGTGTAAATGTTAGGTGATATGTGACATGTTATGTGTAAATGTTAGGTGATAAATGACATGTTATGTGTATATGTTAGGTGATAAATGACATGTTATGTGTAAATGTTAGGTGATAAATGACATGTTATGTGTAAATGTTAGGTGATATATGGCATGTTATGTGGAACGCCATAAAACAGAAGATTAAAAGTTTGGAGCGAACCGGTCCTTCTCTGCAGAGTTTGCACAGTCTCCTCGTGCTTGCGTGTTTTTTTCCCAGGTTCTCTGCTTTCCCCCCCACAACACAAAAACAAGTACAATAGGTTGTCTTCAGGCCCAGGTCTCCCTTGAAAAAGAGATCTGAGATCTCAATGGGATTTGCCTGGTAAAATAACGGTAAATAGATCCAACTGTCCCTCAAATAATGAAGAAGTCCAACCTGAACCCAGGGCTGTCCAACAGATTCGTCAAACCAGTCCAGTTGATCTGAAGGGTCTGAGGGAAATCAAAAGAAGTGGGTTTCAACAGAAATGATCACAAGTACAGCTTTAAAAACTGGATTCACGTGAGAGGGCTTACAGGGCGGCGGATGAAAAACAGAGTGATGCCACCAACCAGTGGTGCCTGACCAATAAGTGGCTCTAAAATGACCCTCAGCATCCCCTGGAACTAAAACGTTCAGGTTTATTTTTCGAAAAACGCAGCAGACATAAACAGCAAAGCTTTAACAGGACCAAAAAAATGCTCACCTTTAGATCTTTCACACCAGCTGTGATTGCAGTGCTCACGTTTGCATAGATGTCCACGTCACCATCATACCTGTGGAGTAAACAGGGGAGACACACAGCTCACAGACTGAGACTAAAATCGATGCAGGAGAGAGAATGTAAAATAYGTTGGACTGACTGGATGTTCAGGTCCAGGATCACCTGCCGCTGGTCCACTTCATGGGTGTACGCTCTCATCCCCGTGATCCTGAAAGGCTGAAGGACATTTCAAGTAATGAGACTCTCTCACCTCATCACGTGAAAATATAAACAGAAACGGTCAAAATGTCAGCTCACCTTGTAACCAAAGTGAATTTTGGTGAAAGTGAACATTCTGAGCGCAGAGCTGGAGAGTCTGACTGTCGGCTGGATCTTTTCCTTCAGCACTTTCTCCATGTACATCCCAAAGAAAGGCCATGCCTGCTCCAACACCTGAACATGCAGAAGAACAGGTCAAAAATATCAAACACATCGTTAAAGGGTAAAGCTGCTGTTTTATGACTAAACAATAAAGCCGACACATTGTTCAGTTTGCTTTAAAATTCTTGATCCTTTGTCTGAAACCGTATTTACACTCACCGTCCACTTTATTAGGTCCACCTGTCCAACTAAACATTAACACGAATGTGGAATCAGCCAATTACATTACAGCAACTCAGTGCATTTAGGCATGTAGACATGGCCAAGACGATCTGCTGCAGTCCAAACCAGCATCAGAATGATGAAGAAAAGTGATTTAAGTGACTTTGAACGTGGCATGGTTGTTGGTGTCAGACGGGCTGGATTGAGTATTTTACAAACTGCTGATCTACTGGGATTTTCACCCACAACCATCTCTAGGGTTTACAGAGAATGGTCTGAAAAACAGAAAATTTCCAGTGAGTGGCAGTTCTGTAGGTGCAAACGCCTTGTTGACGCCAGAGGTCAGAGGAGAATGGCCAGACTGGTTCGAGCTGATAGAACAGCAACAGTGACTCAAATAACCACTGGTTACAACAGAGGTCTGCAGAAGATCATCTCTGAACACAACACGTCAAACCTTGAGGCAGATGGGCTTCAGCAGCAGAAGACCACACCTGATGCCACTCCTGTCAGCTAAGAACAGGAAACTGAGGCTACAATTCACACAGACTCACCAAAATYGGACAATAGAAGATTGGAAAACGTTGCCTGGTCTAATAAGGATTTCTCTGCAACATTCGAATGGTAGGGTCAGAATTTGGCGTCAATAACATGAAAGCATGGATCCATCCTGCCTTGTATCAACGGTTCAGGCTGATGGTGGTGCAATGGTGTGGGGGGATAGTTTCCTGGCACACCTTGGGCCCATTTGTACCAATTAAGCATCGTGTCAATGCCACAGTGTACCTGAGTATTGTTGCTGACCATGTCCATCCCTTTATGACCACAGTGTACCATCTTCTGACCACGTCCATCCCTTTATGACCACAGTGTACCATCTTCTGACCACGTCCATCCCTTTATGACCACAGTGTACCATCTTCTGACCACGTCCATCCCTTTACGACCACAGTGTACCATCTTCTGCCCATGTCCATCCCTTTATGAGCTGTGTACCATCTTCTGACCATGTCCATCCCTTTATGAGCACAGTGTACCATCTTCTGACCATGTCTATCCCTTTATGAGCACAGTGTACCATCTTCTGACCATGTCCATTCCTTTATGACCACAGTGTACCATCTTCTGACCACGTCCATCCCTTTATGACCACAGTGTACCATCTTCTGACCACGTCCATCCCTTAATGACCACAGTGTACCATCTTCTAATGGCTACTTCCAGCAGGATAACACTCCATGTCATAAAGCCTGAATCATTTCAGACTGGTTTCTTGAACACAACATTGAGTTCACTGTACTGGAATGGCCTCCACAGTCACCAGATCTCAATCCAATAGAGACATTTGGGATGTGGTGGAACGGGATATTCTCATCATGGATTTTCAGCCAACAAATATGCAGCAACTGTGTGATGCTATCATGTCAATATGGACTAGACTCTGAGGAATGTTTCCAGTACCTTATTGAATCTATGACACGAAGGATTAAGGCAGTTCTGAAGGCAAAAGTGGTCCCACCCGGTACTAGTAAGGTGTGCTTAATAAAGTGGCCAGTAAGTGTACAGTATAGCGTGACTGACCTCTCTTTCAAAATAAACTCTTGACCCTACAGGTCATGTCTCCTAACTTAATGGAACTCTGTTCTTTAAAAGCTTCCTTACAGCCAAACTTTGACCTAACTTTTCATTAGACCTGTCCTTGGCAGGTGAAATCAAGCTGACACTATTGCCTGTTTTATTTGTTTTTTATTTTTTGTGTGATTAATATACTGTATATAAAAAAGATAAAAACCATTACAATTTTGCAAAAAGATTTTTTCCTTTTTAAACATATTCAAGTGTCATAATGATCACACCGGTTGAACCTGAAATCTTGAGATCAGTTGTCAGTACGTAAACAGTACGTTTCAACATGCTCTACTTTTTAAAATCTATTTCAGGCCTAAATTACTCAAAAATGTACAAACATAAGATATTACCATACCTTGTTCAACCAGTGAACTTTCTCGACTTCTGTGAATTGCACCTTTAGGATAAAAAAAAAAACAAAGACTTTATTTAGTCCATAATCACAAACTTGAAAAATATTGTACTGACAAAACGATAGCATGCATAATAAAAATTATAGGATGTAATTAAACAAATTAAGCAAGCAAAAATTGTCAATATTGCAGCAATTGAAAGAAAAAAAACTGGGGTAAAAGAAATTATTCTCATTCCAGAGATTTGACATGTTTAGGTCAACGTAGGGCTTACCAACACTTGTCTGCAGCATCAAAACTGTGAACCGGAACACAAGTTTTGGGAATTATGCTTAACAAACTGCACGTGATGGGCCCACACCCTGCTTAAAGAAAACTACAGCAACACTATACAGAAACAAACAAACAAAAAAAAAAAAAAAACACTCTGCGCACATTTAAAGGCAGAACTTATGATGCTACCTTCATAATCTGACCCAACTAATAAAAAAACTGATCAAAGTTCACATTCATCGTACAAATTTACCTTTATTCCTGACACTAAACAAAAAAAAGCACACTTCTCTTTTCTTTTACAAGATGAGTCACTGTTTGTGGGTGTGGTACTGTCACATGTGGAGAGGCAACACCTGGAACCCAACAGAACATTTGATCCATGGGAAGTTCTGCCYGAGTCTGGTCAGAAATGCAAATACAGGGTGTGACTCCACGTCCTGCAGCTCAGCTCGTTTTTAATGGATGTTTTGCACAACTTTGCTGCACTTTACTTTATATCAGTTGTTAAAACGACGAGTGAAGATCATAAACCGCAGAGACAAAGAGAGAACACTTTAGTTTTCAAATCTCTGAAATGCTCTAAGGAGTAAATAGTTAACATGTTGCCAATAAAGATGGAAAAAAAACAGATCTGCTTTGAATTTAGTGAAAAGTGAAACTATGGGAGAAACCATCAGACCCCATAAAAAAGTAAAACTATCACGTTAACCCTTATATTCCATTATACTTAGCCTAACTGAAATACATTTTCTTCAATATTTAAGCAACAATTTTGCATGATTGTTGATGTTTTAAAAGTGGGTCTTAACGTTTCCTTTAATCTCCCTAAATTAAAATGTATTAAAGTGTGAACGCTGTTTTTTTAGGTTGAAATGTCTTAAATATCTAATTATTAAATCCTGGATGACGATAAAATCATGCTTCCAAGATATACAAAATATTAGCAAGAGTACTGAAATTTATAGCGAAATCAGTTTTTTTTCTTCTCCAGTCCACGTATTAAAAAAAGGTCCATCCTCCTGCATCCATCAGTGCTGCTGCACCCTCTGCACCCATACTTCACGCAGCTTTGTCCAGAAACCTTGTTGTTGGCATCATATTGCATAATAAGTGTGATTTGTTGGACTTTACATACCCATGAAGCCATCTGCAAGGCATTTTTCAGCTCAGAGTTGATCACGTGCGTCTCGTTATCCACGAACTCGATGGCCGAGTCGATCCGCGCGTCCTTCCTCTGGCGGTTCTTCTTCCACCAGGTGATCATCACCATGCACAGCAGCACCCAGCTGATGCTCAGGCCCAGGTATCCCGTCAGGTACACGGGGTAGAACACCAGAATGGCTCGGCCAAAGTAAATCAGAAACTCCATCATCAGGCGGTTGAGGGCGGAGGGAGTGAGCGTCTCCGAGCTGCCGTGGACCGGCTGGTTCTCCGCGAGCCCAGCGCCCTGCGCCGGGCCGCCTGGAGCTTGGGGAGCGGCGGCTGCCATCGCCCGGAGACTCCCGCTGAGGTGGGGGTGAGAGGAGAGGGACTCTTTAGGGATCTGCTGTCATATACTTGAAGAACTCCCGCAGGAAAACATGACGTGTTTTTTCATGACTCTCAGGTTTGGGTGCAGCCATAAAAAAAAACGCCCCCTCCCTGAAAACTTCCGCGTTTTTAACCTCCCAAAAGCAGGTAGGCTCACCTGTGTTCATGGGTGGGGAGAGGAGAACAAAATCCCACAATTTAGCAAAAAATAAATAAATAAATTACTAGTACTTGAGAGTATTTATATTTGGTTGATTATTAACTGCTCTATAACATCAGCCACTGTAGCTCATTGATGTACGAGGTGGACTGAAACTTAATTTATTCATGTTTAATTAAGATGTAAACAAATGAGAAACGTCTGCAGTGTCRAAACATGTCCAACAGATGGCGCCAGAGGGTTCTGTTCTTTCCAAAGCTGTTTGAGAAATGTTTATAATGAGAGACAATTGCTTTTTTTTTAGGGGTGGCCACTGAAGCAACCCCAGACCATCACACTACCTCCAMCATGTTTGACTGTCAGTATGATCTTTTTCTGAAATGCAGTGTTGGTTCAGCCAACAGACCTCTGTATTTTTTATGTTTTATTGTTGGCTTTGTAATTTTCAAGCCATTTCGGCTCTTTGCCTTTTTCTTASGGATTAATCATCAGAGGTGGGGACTCGAKTCATTAATATTATAACTTCCGACTTGACTTAAAAAAACTGTTCAGAGACTTGTGACGTGACTTTGACTTTTACATTATTTGGGACTTCAATTGAACCCCATTTACTTGAAAAGACTTGATATTTTACCCAAAATCTAAAGTTTAAAACACAGTGGGACCCATTAATGAACTCATTTCATATTAACGAAGGCAGACAGTCCATCTTTTTTCCTCACACTCTGTACATGTGCGTGAGCTGCAACACAGCAAATCAAATTAACTCAATTTAAAAAATGGGAAATTATAGTTTTGCAGCTAAGTTTATTTGAACTGTGCAATATAGAGGTGTAATTTTAAAATGATTTTTAAAAAATACTAAGTTCAGCTGTAAGTTTCATTACGATTTGAGATGAATACAGATTTTAAAAAGAACACACCATCATTTACATTTAACATACAAATGTGACATTATTTTAAAAGGACTTGAAATTCCAAGTTTGAGACTTGAATTGACAGTTGCCTGTCTGTGCTTGAGACTTGTCTCTGACTTGATGATAAAGACTTGAGACTTGAAAAACAATGACTTGGTCCCACCTCTGTGGTGGGCGGCACTAATCTAAAAATTTGTTGCACTAACTCTTAATATTTAGATCCCCTAATTCTGAAGCACTAACACACTTTAAACTTTAGTAAAAGCTAATTCTAAAGCACTAAAATCCCAGCTGACCAATGGAACATTCTTCAGATTCAACATGAGATAATATGAGATAATATTTACTGGAGCTGGAACAGACCAGCTTTCAAAAAAAAAAGGATGTAATAATAAAAAAAGGAAGTGTGGTTAATCGCAATTAATTTATGATTTAACAAGGGCAATTACTTTTTATCACATTGGGTCAGTTTGTCAGATGTTTTCAATCATTATTACAAAACTGCAGTTTGTATTTGCTCAGGTTATCTTTGATGTCAAAACCTGTTTGAAGATCTGAACTATTTTTAGGTGACAAAAAAGCAAAAACAGAAGAACTCTACAAGGAGGCAAATACTTTTCCCCAGCACTGTAGTTATTTAAATAGTGTGGTGCGGTTGGGTTAAAACATAAAAAAGAAAAAAAATCACACAAAACAGAATTCAAATGAAATAATTTTATTATCTACTAAACAAATCACAGCCGTTTCCACCACCTGCTTGACAAACGTTACAGTGACTGAAGTTTCAAATCTGCTAAAGCTGAAAAGTTGAAGTTAAAACAGAGTTAAGATCTGAGTTATAACATCACTTTTATTGCAAAGGTTCAAAGATCACTGAGATACTTCAGTTAGCATTCATACAACATGCTTATTGTGCTAATTCAAGATAAGAATGCAAAAAATAAGAAAAATCACTTATTTAAAGGCATTTAAAGACATGGTTACAAAGGAGAGTTGAAGTAAACAATGTGCTTGTATGTTTAACAGGAACATTTTTAATGATGCAGTAGTTTCACTTTTGATTTCTAATTAATTATTTATTGTCACAGGATTTACTGGAACAAAGCAGACTCCTGCCAGGAGTTCTGCTCACCGATCAGGTTTTACTCAGARCACAGATGACTATTTGTTTTAACATTACTTTAATTTCTATATGAACTGAATCTTGTTTGCATGATTTAAATGTAAAGTGTTCTCTGAGACATTTTCAAGGCACTAAGTAAGCTAACTGAACTGATAGATTTGTTGTTACAGTGTTTCACTTGAATGTTATCAAATACTCAGGATAGGCCTGGATGTCATGAAAGATCACAAACATGCTGGGGCTGGACGTATTGTCCACAACGCTGTCGTACAGTAAAACAGAGTTGTTCCCCTTGGATGGCGGCGCGATCATGTTTTGCTGTCCGAGGGTGAAGTCTCCTGTCAGCACTCGGCAGAGGTACATGAACTTCTCTCCATTTTGATTGGGCCTGGAGTAGGTGTCCTGGGCAGAGTAACTGGCCTTCACGGCAAAGTATGACCCATTGCCATAACATGCAGCTGAAAAATTAAGAAAAATATAAGGTCACCAGGTTGATCTTTGGCACAATAGAAGTTGCATGAAGCTGTCAAAACAGTAGATATAAAAATATCTACTTTATAATATTATAACATATAATAATGTAAAAATGTTCCTTTTGAAAGATCAGGAAATACAGCGGGTAAAATAAGTATTGAACACGTCACCATTTTTCTCAGTAAATATATTACTAGAGGTGCTAATGACATGAAATTTTCACCAGATGTTGGT